TTTTTTTTTTTTTTTTTTTTTGTTGCGCTTCGCTTGGAGACGGATAATTACAACCGAATCATTACTTCTCCAAAATAGGTAAACCATATTTGCGAGCTATAAATATACCGGTGCACGAAAGGATCATAAAAAAAAATACATCCACGTGAGCGAGAATGTTTTTTTGATGATTTCGTAATAATATATACGCTTGGCTAACGCGTCGTTCGAGAAAATTTTGTTAAAACTAAAACAAATCAACGATCCAAAAAGTATTAATTTCCACGAGTTATGGTCCACGCGTCACCGACAATCAAGGAAAGCGAATGAAAGCAACCCTTCCCTCGGCGCTTGATTAGACTACACGGTCGTAAGTACCAGCTGAAGAGTTAACGACAACGTCAACGGGGTAACAGAGCTATAAAACCGGTAGGACGAAAGGGCAAGTTGCCATTGCCACCAACGCGTGGATAACCCCAAGTTGGCATCGTTGTATGAAGCAGCAGCTCCTGCCTTTCAAAGATGCGATGTAAGAAGAAGAAAAAAAAAGAGGGGGGGGGGGCGAGAGTAGAGACGCGAGAGAAGCCGAGAAGAGCTGGGTACGTGTGATACATCTGGGCCAGGGAGTATCGATTACTGGATCTAGGTCACAAGCAGAGACCCTCGTAACAGCACCACCACCACCACCCCTCCAACGTAACACGCTTTACACCGCGCGAAATAATCCGCGCTTTTATGAGCTCGCTTCGGTACGCCCCGAACCGGGTATGAACAAAAAAACAAAAAAAAAAAAAAAAAGACACGAAAACGACACCACATGTATCATAAATATAAATATCACCCACGTATTTTTCTGCTTTTCCCTCTGTTGTACATGTCGGGTGGAGCAACTCGGCCGGAGACGCGAGTATCGAGCCGTCGCACCTGCTCCAGTTTCGAGAAACTCTTTTTCTTCCCTTCCCTCCCTTCCAGCCCTACGGGCTCCCACTATATATATCTTACGCTCTCGACAACGTTGCCGGAGCAACCTCTGGGCCGCTTTGTACTTGGTTTTTTTTTTTTTTTTCCGTCCAAGGACGTATACTTACGTTTGGACCGAGGAAACTGTACGGGTGCCGCACGTGGGGGGGTTGAAATTTTTCGAGCCCCTTGGATCAACGCAACTATAACGCTGAGCTCCAAGACTATGACATTGATGGCGCAATAAAGAAAAAAAAAAAAAAAAAAAAAAGAGATTGACAACACAAAGACGAGGAGTGGATAATTTTTACGAGAGTACTTCACGGCGGACAAGGGAGAATTGAGGCTCGTCGGAAGGGGGGTGGGGAGCTGCCCTCTAGAGTCTCCTTTCGCCTGTAATCGTAAAAAAGCCGAAAGGACGGCGAAATGAATGAAATCTGGGGCTTCGTTGCGTATAGGTATATCCGATTAAAGTGGCTGGGTCTTGTTGTTACATCCCCCGTACGTATATATATATATATATATATGTACACTGGCGCTCGCGAATGGTCGTACAATTCGAGTGGGTTATTGGGGGATTATAATTCCTTTTATTTTTTTCTCTTTCGCTTCGAGGGTGAGGGTGGATTTTGCGAGAAACTCGATCCATACGCGGTGTAGGTGTAGTTGACGATCGAGTCCAAAGTGGAACTACAGAAATGACGAGTCAATTTTCTTTCTTTTTCTTTCAGGGCACTACCTCTGTGACGGAGAAGTAAGGAAGCAGCAGGTAAGAAACGCCGAAAGGGTCGAGAGACAAAAGGGTCAGAAAACCAGACCGTGTACGTAACAAGGAGCGCACGCAAGAGACAAGGAAAGAAAAAAGACGGAGTGAAAATAAAGGGTCGAGAGACAAGGGGAAGCAGAGAGCTAGATCGCGGAAGAAGAGCCGTGAGAAGGTGAGCTCTCTTCCGCTCTTTTTTCATCTGGGTCAACGAGCGCCAGGCTAAGAGAGAGACGCGGAGGGCCTGCTGCAGCACCGGAAATCGATTTTTTTTTTCCTCCTCCCTTCCCTTCCTCCTTGGAAAGTCGCGTGGTTGGGTTGAAGCGTACATGGGTACAAGAGTGCCTTTTTTCCCCTTCATCCGTCACGTGCGCGACGCTAATGTATATAGTCACAGTATAAGGTTGTCTGCCGGTTTACCCTTCATTTCGGCTACATTGTCGATTCTTTCGGATTAAAAATTTTACCTCACCACCAAAACGCGGAGATGAAAACTCTCTGGCTCAGAGTTGAAACCCCGGACACACCTTGGGAGCAGGGGATCAGGGCTCCCTACCGAAAAATCCGATCAGCGGAGCACCCTAGAAACAAACAAAATCAATAACAGCCACCCCATCGCAACAACGACGACCAGCATCCCAGTAGTCCAGACAAAAACGCCCCTATCCTTCGTCGATTGGGTAATTCAATTAAAAGCACGAAACAGCTCCGAGAGCCACACCAGATGGATAGAGAGAAGATGGTACTATATTAGGAGTACGAGGCTCGACTTGCGAGAGAGGAGCCGATGACCCGATTCACGCGCTATACATGTTGTGGGTATTTTTGTCCCGCTGATGTATCCGGCCGTGGCTGTGCTCCAGCTCTGCTCTGCCGTACGTGTTATGATAATTCGCTGGGCAGTAACAGGTGCATCGACCCCCTCGTTTGTGAAACAAAAAAAGCTGGCTTCTGTTTCTTTTGATTTGCAACGGCATTTATTCCCAAAGACGACGTTTCTCGTTTGTTTCAATATTTACCATTTCGGAGCTTTTCTACGAGTGACATCGTCGAGGCCTTGGGTTGGTGAAGTAATATTAATGTGAAAAAAAGAGGCAAGTTCAACAAACGCTTCTCGAGAGCCAGTCGAGTCCCATACACATGTGCGCAGGGAAAACAATAAAACGGAGCCCTAGACGGAGCAGAGATGACAAGTCCCGCATGTATATGGACGAAAGAACTACACGTGCTTCCTCCCCTCACCCCCAGCTCTCTACCCGATAAATATATCGACGGGTGCTGGGCGCGTGCTATACTGCAGTTGCGGCGTCGTCGGCCCCACGCCCCCAGAGGCCGCGCCACCACCGCCATGCGCTCGCAGCAGCCAGGCACGTAGACCCCGCCGCGCGTCGTCCGCGAGTCTCTCAGTATATATATATACATACATACATACGTGTATGTGCAGAGGGAGAGAGACGCTCAAAAAAGTTGCTCTCCCCGTCCCTCTCGCTCTAGGTGCGCGCGCCTTCCTCTCTCTTGCTCCTCGTGATTCTAAATTTCTAAACTCTGAACGGGCTCTGCATTGCGTGTACATGATTTGTTTTTTCTTTCACCTAATGATTTATTCCAAGGCAAGGGTAATTCCCGAATTTTTCGTCACGGAGTTGGAGTCGGACGTTTAACGGGGAAGCGCTCTTGCGTAACTTTTGAGGAGATCGGTAAAAAAAACAGTAGTTCAGCTTAAGATCTGTCGAACTCTGTTTCTCCAAAATGTACGGATCCATTGAGTTATTTTTTACAGAGATAAACAATCACGAATGCATAATATGTACAATGGAGAGTCACGTGTGAGCGGTGGCTGCTTAAATATATTTTTTTTTTTCCTCATTAGCTCACATCTTTCTTCTTCTCGACAACACTAATATTATTTCCAAACGAAAAGGTATAAGACCCGAGCTATTTAGATGGCAAAAATACAATGACTTATTGACAACAACTAAGTTCAAACGTATTTTTGGATACAATAGTAACTCTTTTTCTTTGTCGTAGTAGATAAGCTGAGTAGTTTGGAAGCAAAGATAATTTGGTAATAACAATGGTGATTAAATCGAGCCTTGATCTCAACTCGAATAACGACATGTCTCTGTGACCTCGTTAGAGTAGAAAAAACCTACCCCCTGGTAATTAGTAGAGAGAAATAATTGTGAAAATGCATAAATTCCGTACAAAATAATATTATATTTAATTAAATGATGAAGCCAGGAGTATAAAAGGAATATACGTTTAGAGTGACGATTTTTCTTCAAAGCTGCCTATACACGAAAGGTTGAAAGACTTTCGAAGATGGATCTACTTCGGGTTCTCTGCCCGTGTATACTTACTTGTAGCCGAAGCGCTTGCCGATCAATAAATCCATGTACAAATTGCACCAGGTTTAGGTAGCTTGTGTGTCCACCCTCAGAAAACACCCTCAGTTCGCCACCTACACTGTGAGATCGAAAACACCTTCACCCCGGTAGAAACTCGGTCAACAATGCAACTCCCTGTTGAACCGACTCTGCCTTATCGACACAGACTTTTGCGCGAAATTGAAAGGACTTGGAAAAATTGAAAGGGTTCAATGACAGGGAACCAAGAGAACGAGAGAGGGAGAGAGAAAATAAGTAAAAAAAGAGTAAAGGATCAGTGTAGAGAAAGAGAGAGGAAGAGAAGTAGAGCCTAGAAAAGAGGAGAACGAACCCTTTAAGTTCATGCCGGGGCCGACGCCCCCTTTTCAAGGTGAGCCACTCTCTCCTCTTCGCGATCAAGCCGCGGAGTCGCGTGGCATTTTTCCTCCGAGCTCCCCTATCGTCCCTTACTTTTCTTCTTTTTGCACCCTCGCGTTGCCGTCTCTGAGTTAGATAATATTATTCTCGTTCTCTGTACTCAAGTGTATACACATACTTAGCTTGGCAATGATGTTGCTGGCTTCAGTAAAAAAAGCACTTTTTTTGGGTATACAGGTATGTACCAAAGTAACTCATGTGATACATACACTGTTTAAACCAGAGGTTTGCTTGGATAAGAGCTTTTGCTATTTCAAGGATTACAGATGGCGATTCTGATGGAAAATAGAAAGTTGTTGAACCAGCTACTTATAAAAATTTAAACTACTATATTTGTGTAATAAACATGGTGATAAAATTTCAAACTATAAATTATATGCGATACTGTATTGAAAATTAATGGGCACACACATATACTTGAATTTAAAGAGTTATTGCTGGTGAAAATTTAAATATATATACAGTATGAGCTAAACTTTTTTTTTTAAACTTACCATTGATACGCGTTGAAATGAAAGTACACCAAGCCTTGTCCATATAAAAAAGATGCGTCCTTCCAATAATCACCTTTCAATTCATAAAACTTTTGATAGGCAGACATAGCTGTAATGATCATTCCAATTATTTTTTAACTTGTTTTTTAAGTAATTATATTTTACAGTAACTCAAATAATGTAAGCAAACCTTTAGTATAATCTTCAAGTAACAGATGAAAGTGGCCCAGTTTACAATAAGTTTTTGGATCTATACTGATTCCTTTGTCCTCATCATCATCATCATCGTCGTCATCTTCATCTTTTACGCCTTCGATTACTGATTTTGTACTGTCAGCTTTTCTTCGCTGTTTCTCAGACTGTGCTTGAACTAGCATTCTTTCTAAATATTTGATCGCTCGAACCACCAATGCTTTCTTTTTGGCTTGTTCTGGTGAATTAAGTTTGAAAAAACCAAATTGTCGACTGAAAACATAAATCAATAATAAAGTTTGAAAACATAACTTTGATTGTAACAAGTCAACTATTTTTTCAATCTAAAGAATGACCAACTCCTCAAACATCATAATTTTACATTGTATCGATTGATTTTAAAAAGACATCAATGAATAGAGTCACTTGCAATGGTAAATACAGACTCATGCAAGGAAATCATCAAACCAATAACAAAAATAATGAAAAAAAATAGTAAGAGCATTCATCTTTTGCAACTGTCACTAAACTGACCAACAAACAAAACAAACAGACCAATTACCGACAATTCGCCGAAAACGGCAAGTAAACTCCATAAAAAAATGTTCCAATGTTTCCAGTGACAGAAAAATAAAAAAAGCCCATTAAAAAATTTGCGAGTAAAGCGACTCGTCGAGAAAAGCAAGAACCGAAAGATGTAGGCAAAGGTGTCAGTAGCACAGAAAGCCAGCCAGCCAGGCTGCAGAAATCGGTTGAAAGCAACTTATGTTAGCCGCTCTCCTCGCTCACCTATCCAGCTCCGAGAGCGTCTGCAGCTCCTGTGGCGTCAGATTTATGTCATCCGTTTCCTGGGCCATCTTTCCTTCCTTTCTTCGAGGATGAATCTCTCACAAAGATCTTGGATTGAAAATATTCACACTATACGGATGCGGGTGCGAGAGATACCGCGAAATACACTAGTATCAAAGACGACGAAAACATCGGGGAAACAAGTACATCACGGAGATGGTGTTTATTCACTAGTAACATGTAAATACACTGGCAGAGGACACTTATGCAGTACAGACCGGACGTCAAGTCATGATGTGATGAATAGCTAACTTACAAAAATTACAACACGGCTCTTCTCTTTGACTGTTCTTTTTTTTTTTTTTTTTTTTTTTTTCTTAGTACACCGGGTGCTATATTTTAATACTAATTCTCCTACGTACATACAAACACTAGATAAATACGACGATGATGATCACGTAAAAATATATTAAATTTAAACAGAAGAGCCGTAGAGGTTAACAAACCAACTCTACGTCCGCCCGACCCTTTGGTGTTTAGGGTTTTGATAGTAGTCCAACAGTTGGAAAGAGACAAGACGATCCTTGATGAAGGTGAAAAGCGTATGTGTGTGTGATCCGCATACCTTCACATATTTCACGTTCACCGTGACGGCGGCAGTCCGGCGTCCATGCACCCGCCGCTATACTTAGCCGCCACCTCTAGCTTCGTTGACGTGGTTTATGCCAGAAATATTTTCATGCAGGGAGTGGTAACACTGGTGTACTGACGGTCGGTAAGCCCGCTCGAATTGCAGATCTCTCATATACCTACTATTTCTGATTCTGCGCTGTGCTAGTCCTTCTTTGAGTTCGATTTCGATCTGTCAAAGTATAGCAAGTGCGGGGGTGAAAAAGTGGAGCGCGATACATATATATATGAGATAAATCGTTCGTGGTATTGTAGCCCAGGATTGTCGATTTTTTGCAAAAAGTTTAAAGTACTCAATAAGTAAGTAGGTACCTGTACTTACCGTACAAAAGTTATTTCTCCTGTAATTTTGTCTCGATCCCTCTCTTTTTCCTCTATCTCCACTATATTGTGCTGCACTCTACTCTCTGACCGTCAGTATGTTTTATTCGGCTCGCAACTCACAATAAAAGGCAGCTCCTGTTAGTGTATGCCCGAGACAAGTAAGAAGAAGCAAAGCAAAGTGACGAGCATCGTCAAACGGTATTTCGCAATTCTAAATTATTTTTAGCTAAGCACGTGTTTTTTTGTTTACTTACTTTGGAAGTATTTTGTTCATTATTGGTCAGTTTCCTAATAGATTTCCTGTGTCATATCCCGTGAGGTGCGTATGTATTAGAAATTGAAATCTTCAATGCGCATAGTATACTTAACTTGCATCAATTATTGTAATTTTGGTAAGCATAATGCAAATTAAAGAATTTGAAAGTTAGGAAGATACAATGTATAGCCCTAGCTCCAAAAGGACTTTATAGTAGGTAGGTCGTGGTTGAGACGTTCTATTCATTATTGATTTTTTTTCCTTTTACTCTGGTCAATGGACTTTTTTCCTTAAATCATTGTATCGTATATTTAGATTATTATTTCAATAATTCCTTTACTTTTTGCCATATGGTTTTGTTCATCTGCTTTCATTTAACTTTTATGAATGCATTGGTTAACGTCTTAAAATTTAAGACAAATATATTTCGAAAATATTGCGTAGTTTTTTATGATACCAACTTTATCATTGTTTCGAGTTTCGATATTTACTTTTGTCACTTTCAGTCTTTCCTTATTATTCATCATTGTTATTTCGTCATCTTTTTGTTAGTCATATTTATTTTAATAACTTGCTTATGCTGTTTTCTGTCTCAACTCTTGAATTATTGACAGCTAGGTCATTTTCTATAGATGTATAGGAACCTAAAAATGTTAATGAGAACATGAGAAGCTTTTGGGTGCAATACTTACTGCAATCTACAATGTGCACACTTACCTACTGACCCATATGTGTATGAGTAAAAATTCTGAGAACATATCTTATTATATCTCACTTGTTTTCTTCAACCATTACCTCAAAATTCTAGCACATCAAAATTTTAACCTTTAACCTTTTTCTTTCTTTGATTAATTTTCAATAGTCAATAATCCTTCAAGTACTTAAAGTTAGACCATCAAAATTTATTTGATTAAAGTTTGTAATCTTAATGTGGTATGAATTGTTATGAAAAAAATTAAAAATATTATTTCCCTAGCAGGCAAAAAAATTTCGAGGTATTTCTAAAGCATAGAATAGATATTTCTGCATTACTGGCATGTCAGTGTGATAGCTGTACATTTTAAGTATAATTTTTTCTTCTTTTATGTGTAGAATTAAAATGAGTGTTCCAACATCAAAGAAAGGCAAGGATGACGCTAACCGGGAAGTGTCAGATGTTGCCAAAGATGCAAAGAGCTTTATTGAAAAAATCTTGGGTGATGTCAGCAAAACATCGGCCACCAAACAAATTGTAATTGGAAGCGCGTCAGGATGGTAATACTCAATTTATGTGCTTGGAAGAAAATTAAATTGGATTATTATACACGTCAAATACTGTTATTTTCATGGTTACAGGGCTACTGGCTTTCTAACAATGAAAGTTGGAAAAGTTGCTGCCTTTGCAGTTGGTGGTGGCATCATCATGCTCCAAATCGCGGCGAATCAAGGCTATATCAAAATTAATTGGGATAAGATTCAGAAGAAGGCCGACAAGATTACTGATAAAGTTGAAGAAAAATTGACTGGAGAAGGTCCTAAATTGATAGATAAGGTAAGAAAATTATTCGTTTAATGATTTGACATGCTCTATTAATACTAGAGAATCATGTGAGTGATTTCATTGTGATTATAAATATTTACTATTTCACACATTGAATTTCATAACTTTCTAATGTAAGTATTTTTTATGTTATTTGTGTTATTTTTAACAATTCACAAGGGTGGCCACATGCTTTAAATTTTTTTTTCCATTAAATTTTACGTGGTTCTTTTCTCAAATGGTCCTCTAGTGTGAAATTGGCTTAAAAACTAAATTGAATTTTCCTGTTGAAATCCAATTATGATTTTCAGGTAGGAAAATTCTGTCAAGAACATACATTTTTGGCTACTAGTTTTATTGGTGGCTTTTTAATCGGCCTAGCTTCATGAACATGAAAATACTCATCAAAATTAGATGAATGTCAACAGAATTGTAAATTATTTCATATGCTTGTATATAAATGACATTATGAAATTTCCTCGTTAATTTTTCATTTTTGATAAATCTATTGAGGTAATCTAGAATATAATTAACTATTAATGCATACCAATAGTATAGATGATTTGTCTAAAGTACTAAATAATAGACACAAGAGCTAGTTGATTTCAAATGAATATTTTTTTTTTTTTTTTTTTTTCTAAATACTAAGTAATACGTTTTTTAAATAATTTTCTTGAAACATAAGGATTTAATGTTTATCTGAGGGACATGCAATCGATTTTTTTGTACATACTCTTAGTAGATAATCGATTAATCAGTCTCTAAACTTACTTTCCACAGACATTTAGTTATGCTAATATTTTACAAATTTCACCAAAATTAGTAAAACACCATGTTTAATAAACACGAGACTTGTATCATGGGTGTTGTTACCAAAATAAAAATAATTTGTAATTAAAAAATCTTTGTCGTATTTATTTCAGAAGAAAGTCGAACTCTTGTTACTGCTACTATTTGTTGATTATAAGCTTTCATTATATACGCGAGTAACATGTAAGCATTTGATACACGTAATAATTCGTATAGAACTTTCAAAAATTTTTTTTGTTTAATTATTTCGTTTCTATAATAAGGATGCATAAAAATTATCAAATAAAAATAATAATTGCAAGCTAACGTTGGCGCAAAAACTTACAGGTGGACAGATTTATAGACGGAAAGCTGGACAAGGCCGAGCAACTGTTGAAGAACGGCCAGAGCCGGGGTCGGCGCTGGTACCAGCACTTCTGCGGCAGCGAGGAGAGTTTCCAGATCCGGGAGATCCACTTCTTCCTCGTATCTTTCGCCGCGGGTGTTGCGATAGGCATGGCGTCGGCCAACTAGGTATACGAGTGCTGCGCTTTGTTCGTAGATACAGCGCGCAAGAAATTACAGCGAACTCCGGCAATCGAGCTCGAGTCTCTTCCGAGCGAGGAAAAGGCTCTGGACGTCAATGATATCGTTGAAAAGCTCACCCAGTTCTGCGAGGAAGCCAAGAAGAATTTCTTCGAGTTCAGGAGTTGGTGCCGGCAGCAGGTGCACGAGTACCTCTGAGCTGATACATTGCGACGCTTCTACGCTTCTCTTGGAGATGGGCGCGGCTCTCGAAATTTTTTTTACGCAACGAATGATTGGTTGTTAACTTTTTTTCTTCTTTTTGATGATTAAATTTTCCAAGAGAATCCGAGTGTGTTTATGACTACGTGGAGAATTAAAGAGCACAATTATTTTATCTCAAATTTTTTTAAAGAATTTGATTAATGGTTAGGCAAGTGGCCATTGTAAAAAGACAATAACAATTTTGATATTTTACTATTAAACATTTTCAAAAATCAACGTTTTTTTTAATTATAACATCAAAGATTTAATACTTTTAAACCTGAAATAAAATGTAAGATTTGAGTTTTTTAAAAGTATTCTATAATTTGCAAACGAATTAAAGAGTCAGCACCTCGATCTTTGCTCTCATAGAGAATAACTTTCGATCCAAGTGGTATCTACGTGCAAAATGCAGCACGATTATAAAGAAACAATACACGAAAAAAAAAACGATTGTATCAAATGAAAATCTTGGAGTAATCATTAGTAATAAACGTATTGTACTACCGTAGTTTATCTGCTGTATCAAGTATTAGTTGTTTTCTATTGTGAATGTAGGATAATATTATGATGCATCAATAATGTTTTTCTTTTCGTTTTAGAATCAATTTTTTGGTTCTGCTTTAGTTTAATGTGCATAGCCACAGTTGGATTGTTAAGATGTTATTCTGTGTACATATTGTATTTTATCAATTTGCTCACTTCAGTGCACTCAGTCGTCAATCAATTAATTTAATTTATTTACTAATGTAATTAACTTAATACTCACGTGATTATACTTGAAACATGAATGAAAATATGGATATTAAATATATCAAAGACATTGATATGATGCAAGAGACAAAAAATGAAAGAAGTAAATAATAGCACACTTCTGATGTAGCACCGGAGGTATATGTTGGATGAAAAAAGTACTGTAATAAGGGACTAAAAATAACTATGTTTAGTTGAAACAAAATAAATAAACATCTTTGTCTTAGAATTATTTTTATAGTAATCAATGGTCATTCAAAATCGTTTAAGGCACTGTAAAACTAAGTTCCTCAATCGTCGTCTCAATTTTTGATCACTATTACATATTATGTGCGTCCAGTTGTCACTGATCTGGATCACGGTATCATCCGGCTGTGACAAAAAAAGAAAAAGAAAAAAAAAAAAAAATACGTTAATAGTTGTTTCGATTTTACGTATCTCGAAAAATGGCACCTTACCAAGTGAATACTGATCGTTAAAGGATTCTGTTGCAATCGTGCACCTGTAATACCTTCTTGGTCAAGTTTCTGAAGCAACTCTTGAGGATCCAAGTTTCCATACTCGTATTTTCGTTCTTTAATAACATCTTCTTGCAGTGGAGCCAACGAGTTGTTTGATGAAGCTTTTCGTTTCTTTTCCGCCCTACTCTCGATATGCTATAAAAATTTAAATATCTATCATTCATCTACACAATGATTTGCGAGTTTAAAATTTTATACCTTTATCGTGTATACATTGTCCTTAATTTCAAGTTCGCCGTTTAGAGAAGCTAAACTCAAACCGGGTCTGATCTCACTTGGTACTATGTTTCCTGCCAGTGTTGGCTCAATAAAAACACGACCTCTCTTTCGTTTCATTGGTAATTTAATGACCTCGCTTCGTTTAAACAGAATTAATGGCTTCTCCTTGGTATTGGTAAAAAGTTTTAAATGTTTAGTTAGTTATTTTCAAAAGAAAAAAATTTTGAAGTTTTGAAAATTAGTTGAAGAAAAAAAAAAAACCAAGATTTCTTACCCCAACTGGCTCAATTACAAGATCTGTTCTGTGTGGAGCTGTCACTGGTGGTTGAATGTATGTATGAGGTATTACAAGATTATCTGGTTTCAAATCTCTAATCAATTTGTTAGCTTGGGTGAAATTTAATGAAGTGTCGATCGGACAATGGACAGCTTTCATGGCCAGTGGTTGGAAAGGCGCCAGTGCTTCGTGATGGGAAAAATCGGGTTCTGCAAAAATAGAAAATTTAATACATCATGATGTTCCAAATCGGTAGTCACACAATTTCTAAAAAGCAGCTCTCACCTGTAAAAATAATTGTATTTTGAGGCTGATGGCCCCACATTTGTACAAAATGCACAGCATCACCAAACCTCAGACTGGGATGCCCACAAAAGACAACGCACGGCTGCTTGTATTCTGTACTAAAACGATCAGCATACACGGATGGATAGTACAGCAACCTTCTGTTTTCAACTAACGATGCGTGTGGAAAAGGTTCTTCTGGAAGATATACTTTGTTCTGTTTCCCCGTCGACAGCCATTCAGCTAGAATATTGGAATAGGCAAGCGACGTTTTCGCAACCGGGGATATAAAGTAGAGTGGTACCTGGGTCAAGCCCGATTTGTCTAGATGAGAGCTAAGACATTCAAAGAGATCGTAAACAACGCCTGAAGGATAACAAGGAATAAGAACACAGCCTCCAACACGTAAAGTTGTAGCTAAAAAAAGTATAATCAGTCATGAGACTGGAATAAATTAATCAGATACAGCTTGGGGTCACATTAAAAAACTTACCAGCTGTCATGCACAGTTCTCCAAGCATAGTATCTGGATTGGCAGTAGGCATTTGTGCTAAACCAGTGAGAATCAACAGGTTTGCATTTTTCAGAGCCGTCTGTTCCATAGGCCTGGGATGTGTGGTCAATGTTGATGATCCGCTGACGTAGGCAACTTTCTCGTGATCACTGGATATGAGCCAATTACTGCTGCCCAAACAGTATCCTGAGCTGATAGGAGTCACAGATAGAGCGCCATAAATATCAATCTTTTGATCATAGCCAACTAAATGGATGTTAGCAAGTGCAGAATTCACTGCCGCCATGGAATATAATTGTTTCCAAGACTTAGGTTTGTGAGCATCTGATAGGGGCTGTGGCAATACATGGAGCATCTCCTTCCAGTGCTTGGCCAAGGTGTCCCTTGGAGTTTTTTCAATGTACTCAACTAGTTCTTCCATTAAAATTCTTCCAATTTGTAACGTTGGATCCGTTGCATAGATCACACCTTTGAAACCAGTGCCTTCTGTTATGAAAGGAAGTGCCAGCATACACGTGTAGTTTGATATCAGAATTGCATCTATTTCTGAAAAGTCTGTGATTTTCTCCAATGGTGGGCAGAACTCTGGAGTCGAGTCGACAAATAGTCTGCCACAACATTCTTTCAACTCCTAAGATAAAAAAATATTAGTGGGACTTAAAAAAAAATAAATGCCAGACTTTCAAATCTTACCCCTTCGATTTTCCAATCCTGATAGTTATCACGTGGAACCCAATTAGGTAGAGAATTGAACCGGGCACTAGGTACCATGGGCATTGGCATGAAATTTAATACTGACTGCATATTTAAACCACAGTCCAAAATTAACGTGATTCCTTTGAATGTTAAAACTAGACATGGTTTTGTTGGTTCACTTGACAGTGAGTACTACAATAAAAAAGACACTTTGTCAACTGTATGTCTTGCACAATTTAAACAAACACATGTTAAATTCGTAGAGTTTGTATATATGTTGAGGTTAAGAAAAATTTTATTTTTAAAGCCGACAAAAATTGTTAAAGCTTGTTAATACATTGTAAAAATTAATAAAGTGATAAAAATACTTACAAGTTTCATCTTGAAACTAAGTAATTAACATACACTATAACTTTTTTCTTACTTTGCCTATTTTTAGAACAAAAAACATGTTTTGTTATGAATAGGTTTATGAAATTTAAACGCCAGCCTCGTCGACTGCCGATAGTGCCGAGTGCAATGTGTATGTGTGTTGTCTTTCCCCCAATATATATAGATATACGCACACTATATAAGAAGCGTTCGACAGAATTGATTGAAAAAAGATTGGATTAAAATGTTAATGAAGTAGTCTAACGGCTGAACTAGGTTTACGAATCTTAGAATTAACATTGACTATCACGTAAAATTAAACTTACCATTAGAGTAATGAATATTGTATGAAAGGAAAATTAAATTTAAAAACAGCAGGAAAGAGATTTGTTGAATAAAAAACTTTTTTATAAGTTCCAAGAGCTTAGTACATTTTTCAAAAATGTGGGTGGTTTAATAAATATTACATTCAACATATCAGTAGATTTTAAAAACAGTTTTCTAAAAATGATGTATTACTGTATTTCTAATGAGGGATCACGCATCATAAAATAACAAATCACAGTATTTTTTTTAAAACGACGACAATCTACAATGATCTTCTTCAACTAAAACGTTTGTAATATATACATCATCATCTGTACTCGTATCTATGAGCTCAACTTCATAGATACAATCAATGTGTGAAGTTTTCGGTTTTTTAATTCCTTTAACGGAGCATACAAAACTTTTTGCTTGAGTTAAATTTTTAAATCTTATACAAGCATTATTAGACCAGTTTTCACCTTTAGGTTTGACACCTAAAAAATATATATATTTAGTGAACCAATTTTTTTATTTCATGTATCAGGAACAAAGTAGGTCATTCTGAAAAAATGTTTACCATATAACTCGCACCATACTGCTTGGTATGGAACCGTGTAAAAACGGTTGTGTAAAACTTTGAGTTTGTTTATACAAACTGCCTTGTACTCGCCATAATCACAGTAATAGACAAATACTGAGTTTTTGTCACATTTTTTCAACAGGAATACACTAGAAAAGAATTTTGTCTTATGAAATGCATGTTTCAGCAAATAAGTCTAACTTTCTCAACTGTTGTTGTAACGCTTACCGATACCACTGTTCATCAGAATCGCCTTTTATAGCATACATTTGTCCGACTTGTACAATCTCATATGTAAGTTTTGGACTCTCGTAAATCTCCATTACTTCTGCCATTTTGTTGACCATATCCTTAATAATATATATTAAAAAAAAAAATTAGAAAATAAAAAATAAATATTCGATAAAAAAATTAAAATCAAATAATCATGTGGTTCGATTGCTTACTTTAAACTCTCCATTTCTGTAAGATAACATATGAATAACAAAATGAGAAGGATCGTAAGACAAGACTACATGAGAGTCAAAAAAAGTTGTGTCCGGTATTTTAGGCATATTCAGCACTTTTTTAATAGAAAGCGTAGATATTTGATGGTAACTCTCAATTGCGGTACCTTGCAGATCAATTTTTGTAAGTCTAGTTGAAAATTTCAGTACGTTACAAAATGTGTACGTTTTACGGAAAGCGTAAATAACAAATTTGACTTACACTTTTCTCATTTCCTCGAATACATAATCTTTATTTACATCTTGATTATTATTAGCACTTTTTGATTTACTTAATTCATTTTTGGGTATATTCTGATGTAATGTCTGTGAAGCTTTTTGTTCATCATTATGTCTGATCTGATCATTTATTGATAACAACGAGTCGTTTTCTTTTTGAAACAATTGTACAGAGACAACTCTATCAGAAATATCTTTAAATTTCACAAATAAAACTTCTTGTCCAGTTTCAAATTTTTTCAAGTAATTTACTTGCTGTTTTTCGAGAATCTGGCCTTCCAAACCATCAAGATCAACTTTTATAGCCTACAAAATAAAAAAATTGCATATTAATCAAAAATCTACTTTTTATCCGAATACGTAATAGAACATTTAACCTACTTGAGGTGGATACATTGCTAAAACTTCACAAATTTTTTCGAGTAAAATAAAATCGTCACAATTTACGGTGATTCGACATCCAACATCGATTAAATCAACATCCACTTGATTCTCATCAACGAACCTAATGACGCGAGCTCGATACCATGCCTCTTTATGTTGAACAAAATACACTTGGAGACCACTTAATTTAACAACAGTATGCGTTTTGTAATTTTCGTGATTTATCGTGTCAACTGCCTTTTTCATCAGTTTATTGAAATAATGTAACGAATTCGTTTTTATTTTTAAATAAATCACCTTCTTTGAAACATATGCTACTTTACATGGAATCACTTCATTCTTGAAGAGGAAATTCGATTTTTAAACTCAATATAAGTTATTATACATAAAAAAATAGTTTTAACGACCTACCAGCTCAATAAAATCTATGGGGTGTAAAAGTTTTCCTATTATTTCTTCCATTAAAAAACTATTCAAGTTAATTTCATCGTCTTCATTTTGTAGATACAATGAACAGTATAAAGTATCTTGATAATACCTGTTAACTTTTACATATGCAGGTTTGTCGAGCAAACAACTTTCCAAAATTTTTTTAACGTCTTTTAAATCTTCAAATATTTCTAAACTTTCCAATGATAATTTGATTGCTTGAGCAGGTAGATTACAAAATTCGTGTGGTAGCTTGCGCAGTTTTTTTTTTGGAAATGCATCTGTATCACCACGATCGATGAAAAACACTGTTGCGTGATATTTACCAACTTTTAGGCATCTGACTCTATGCCAGGAACCATCAAACAGAGCATAGACACCACCCACAACAATCTCTTCAAAAATGAAATCACCAACTGCAAAGTATTCCTTCATACTTTCCGCCAATTTCTCAACTTCTTCCTGGAAATCAAAATCAAATAAGTAGCTGTGGTGAATACTTTTTGGAAAACTAATACTTTCAAAGAATAAGTCTTTAATTGATAAACATTTACTTTTAACACAAAAGAGATGAAATACGTTTAAATTTTTAAGTTCAAAATTCGTAGCATTTTATGTTACATCATTTTAGATGCGTGAATTTTAGATTTAGAATGAATTGGAAACAGTTTACCATCAGCATAAGCTTATCAGTGGAAATGTGTACAGCCAACTAAGCTGAACAAAAAATGAATGTACACAATGACATTTTCAAGTTTACCTAAACTCAGTTGTCTAAATACGATTCAATGAGATACAATCCATATTTTTTAATAAATTGACTTACAAAATGGCCTGTATCCAAAATAATGCCCCAGAGCTCAGCAACTGATTCGCAACTGTATATAGTTATCCAGAACTCTTTTCCTAGTTTTTCATAATCTAGTTTCTGCACTACACTAGATGGCAAATCGAGGTCATTTTTAATCTGTAATGATTAAGTATACACATAGAAAACGATAAATAAAAAATATAAAAAAAAGGGAAAAAGTAGGGTATTAGCTATTTTTACTTTGTTTTCAGGCAAAACTTGATTTAGTTTCACTGTGAATTGCAACGTTTTCATCAAATCTGGGGATAGTTCTTCGTCAAACTCTTTTTTGTAAATGGAGGGCAATAGCTTTTGAAACTGCACTTGTAAAAAAATATTAGCCAGTTTTGCAACCTTATGCTCAACGTTACCAGAAGTTGCTTCTTCCATTCTATTAAGTACTGAGGATGAGGTACATAAATTTTCCACTTTTTCATGTCTTCTGTGCGGAGGAACATACAGTTCCATAAGATTTTTCTTAACCCTTTTCTGAAATATTGACGATAAACTATATGAATGCAGTATTATTATTTCCACACACTTTGTAACAAAAAATTCGTATTTTTATTCAAGAAAAATAAAGTCACTTTTTGTTAAGTAAGCATATATTATTATTAATTCTTATGCATGCAAGAAGTAACTAGTAACTTGTTACAATTGGAAAAAATTAGATTTACCCCATTCATTTGACTTCTTTTTTCCATTTTCAGGAATCACGTCCTTTCTTCAGTCCTACAGCGTACTACTTAAATTACTAAATACATACAAAATTAAAAGTCACTGTATCATAATAAAACAACTTATCCAGTCTTAATTCAAATAATACGGTGCATTTGCGTTACTTCAACGTATTGAACACTTTTTTCTCAAAAATGTTTACAACTTGTACAATAAACGCAAAAATTTGCAAGAGTTTCAACCATCCGAATCCTACAAATTTCGAAATCTATTGTTGTTATAAGTAGGTACATCAGATCCAAACTATTCTCAATGTCGATTAACGTAATTGAATATGTTTAATGTTTCAATCCCCAAAAGAAAAGCACGTGGTGCCACGCGACTCTTGTTTTTCTGGTTTCTTTTCGCAATAAGTGGATGTTTATCCAGCAATCCCGTTTAAATTAGAAAAATCATCTACTGGTATACTACTACATCTTTAGTGTCTACAATCTTAAGAAAAATGCAAATAAATACTTTCTCACCTTTTACGGCTCACTGATACCCATTAACATTATTGTCGATTGATTTTTCATAAAGTCTTGGTCTGGCTGGCCTTGTGGGGGGGACCAGCATTCACAAAACAAAGTAATGAATGTCGTTCAATTTTGGATGGAAAAAATACCACTAACCACTACTCAGTGGACGTTAGGAAATGTCTTTTTCGTATGTGCCCGACACGATGAAAACTAAAGTTTACGAAAATCTAACGTCTCTCAACCTGTTTACCTCTTTCAATTTTCAAATACTCTTTTAATGGGTAAATAAGTGTTTACGTATTTTATCACGTATACTTAACGTGTGCGGCCGCTAGCCGCCGCCGCTCCCTCCGTTCCGTAGATGCACCTAATGGAAGAGGATGAACACAAAACACAAATAAGTAGGGTTAAATGACTCAATTACTGCGCACTGAAATTTTTGATTGTACTAAATTTCTCATTTCTCAATGTTTTTCAATGTAAATTGAACCAGTTTTACTTAATCTTTATCTTCAGCATCTCGTGCGATTAAAACGACAAACATTTTTCTGTAAAGTAACTTTTTTTTTTGGTATTCCTGCGCACGGTTATAAAATTAGCACCAGTCGCTGCGCCCCCAATTGCTGCGCGGGTATCTCCCATAAGGTTTTCATGCTGAAGCCCTAGACCCAATTGCTGCGCACCAATCACTACGCACGACTACAAAGTTTTTAGATTCGTTTAGAGTCACTCAGTTAAACAATTACAAATGTCATGATGTAAAGTATGATTATGGATTGAACGTTATTAATTGTCCGTACGTGTTACAATAATCCGAGCACCCAAATTTTTCAGTCTGTTTTTCTTATTTTCAGTTACCGTCGAGTGCGCAGTAATTGGGTCATTTACCCCTAGGTACAGTCCAAGTATCTGAGGTATCTCGAATTTCCAACTTAAATAACAAATTTAATTTTTGAATTACTCTTTTTGTTGAGAGCTACTACTTAACTGCAAAATATTGTTCGTGCAGAAGCGTTTTAACAAACAACAAAGTTCTTTTTCTGTGCCATATAGGATGGGTGAGTTGTGTTACAACGGCGTGTATATAAGTGGCAACGCTGTCGTCACTATAGATTATATATACTAAGAACCATTAGATAAGGTAAGTTCCGTTTGGGGACCGAGAATCCGAGATTGCTTTTTGTCTCCAGATCATGTTAGACATACGTTATAAATTTATTTATATTTATAAATAATATAAGGTGAAATGACAGCTGACACAGGTGTATGTAAACATATGCATGAATTTTTTCAAAACAAGGGCTCGTTTAAAAGTGTAGGATTTACTATTAGGTATAGAAAAAACAGATGACATCATTGTGATCATGCGAACCATGACCGGCCTGGTCGTAACGGGGTGGTCGTATAATTTAGTATGGCGACCGCATAACCTCTCTTTTCCGGTCTACTCCGGCAGCCGAAATCTCGAATCACGAACAAACCTTTTGATCCCAACGTTTTAAGAAATACAATCCAAACAATGATGTTAACCAGATAAATTTTATACATATGCTTGCACTTTGCACATTGGAAAATTTCATTCTACTTAATTCAATTTTTATTTCACAATTTTTTAAAAACTACATTAGGTAATTATTATACACACAATACCTTGATCTTCCAACCAATGGGTATGCTTAGAATAGAATAAAACTTCTTTTTTTTTTTCAGTTTTTTATTAAACACTGCACTTCCGTGTTACATAACAACAAATTACCGCACATAAATATATGTATATATTAAAATTAAATTTTTTTTCAACAGCTCTAAAAAAATGTATATACGTAAATTTACATCGCAGTATACATCCATATTCATCTGTACGCGCTTATCGTGCGTGTATGTACAATATTTTTGCATGATGCCGTGGGATGCTACAATTCTTACAAATTTCATAATCCGCTTATCACATCTTCTACATCGATATCATTACGTATGAGCGAAATTGCAAAATAAATAAAATAAAATAACGCTCTTTACAATATTTCCCCTATTTTTTAATTTTAAAGTTATTTAAGTTTTTTAAATATTTAAAGTTCAATTTTTTAACACGCTTTTTCGTATCGTAAAGTGTATTTTACAATCTTCCTTTGTACTTACGAAAACATACACTCAATGACACTCTCCTCTTTATAGTATATTTTCATACCAATTTTTTTTTTTTTTTTTTTTTTAAACAGTTGTTGGACAAATTAATTTAATTGAAATGTTATCCACCGCAATTTTTTCATCTCTTTATTTTTCTTCCGAGTGAAAAAACATTACTGCCAATTTAATTTTCTTTTTTTAACGCGCACTAGTGTTTACTGATTTTTTACTGCACATCGATCTCATCCATCAATAAAAAAAAAAAAAAAAAAGGAAAACTTTAAACTATTTTTAACCAAATAAAATAGTAAGCAAGCACAGAAAAAATTGTGAAAGTATGCAAATACGACATTTAAACAACAATGCAATCGTCAAGCAAATACAATTTATTATACTTACCATCGAAAAGCTGAGAGCAACGTTAGCATGTGTACTATTTTAAAATACGTAGAAGTAATTAATTAAGTGGTCCCGGAATAACGTATCTCTTATAGCGCTACAATTATTTCTATGGATATTTCGGTTATTTTATCTCCTAGGGAAGGTAATAGTAATATTTTTAATTAATAAAGCGCATGAGTTGAATTTTAAACGGACAACAAATAAAGCAAATGAATTAAGTTGATATTACATTAAAAAATTACATTTATTTTTTCCGGATAAACATTAATTCGATATTACTTTTCATTGGTATTGTTTTTTTTTACTGTTTTAGAATGAGATATTAAAAAATCGAGAAAAAAGCTCAAAATGGCGCGTCGTCGGTGCTTACCTTCCCTAGTTGATCAAGTTCGAGTTTCGAGTTTGATTCTTTTTTTCGAGTGAAAAAAATTTCGAGGATTTAGTATTGTCAGCCTGGCGATCATTACGAGCTATCTTTTATTGAACAAAAAGAGGTAAAATTTGATGCTTGTTATTGTCTTTAGCTTTTTTTTCTAAGTCAAAACTTTCAAAATTATTTTTTCTTGAAAAATGGCTTTACGACTGAAAAAAAAAAATGTACGTATTTACAGAAGCATTTATACAAAATAGAATAATTTAAATAACTATGGCAAATATACAATCATCGAGATAAATCTAACATTTCGCTTATTTTTCTAAATACATAAAATAAATAAATTTGTAATGGGAACTGGCAATTTGAAGCTTATGGGAACAGTTTAATACTGATCACCTTAAAAAATCATTGATTTTCATTTTACTTCAACGTACAGGTAACAACGCAAAAATAACAAAAAATATCGATTTTTATGTAAAAAAAAAAAAAGAAAACGCTGAACTCTATTCGCCATAATCATAGCGATCACCATCACTCTTAAGTTGATATGATAGTACGCACAAAATTTTACGACAAAAAAATGTGCACTGTAAGTAAGTATACACACAAAAAATCTAAAAATAGAAGAAAACAATAATAAAAAGGAAAAAAAAAAATGTTTTCCATCATGAATATGAAATGTTGCTTTCTGTAATGCCGCAATGGTAATAAAATCGGGTCACCATAGGAATTGAATGCGCATAAATTCATAAAACTGATGTTTGTTGAATCGATGTTTTGAAACTACTCAAAAGTTAACAATACTTCTCTCACGGTTACTTAAAGTATATTATTATTTAAAGGTCAATTTAGAGAAATTCCATGAGGCTAATTAGCAGTACGTACGAAAAATCGTCCTGAATTCATAGGTCAGGGAAATACTAAATTATATGGATAATTTGTTATCAATTATGCAATGATTTCATTTTTAGATTTACTTCATGTATCTGTAAAAACGCAGTTGTGCGCCGTTTTCTCGTATAGAGACTGGAAGAAACAATCGGAGGATCAACTGCGTCTTACCTACACCGAAGGGAAAAAAAAAAAAAAAAAAAAAAAAAAAAGGTTGAAGCGTGATAAGTCATGAAACCTGCACCCTGTAAATTACCATCGTCCCCGTCGAGCTGCCACAATCGTTACGACGGGTACAACAGAGGCGAGTGATCGTTTTCGAAATTCTTTGAAAGTATGATTAATTAAAATTATGCGTTTTTTCGGATTAAAAATAAAAACTGTCGTTCATCGCGTAGATAATCGGGCGAAAGTTAAAGCCAATCAGCAGCACGGGGCGAGAGCAAGGCTTTTCGACACGATATCAATTTATCTCATGTCTTGGTATGGCTGTGGAGAAATATAATAATTAAACAAATTAATAATTAAGCCAAAGCGTGGTTGACAATTTTAGATTAAAGTAACATGCTGATTTGGTGCTCTTTGGTGGAAAATTGAATAGGAATTACGAGGATATTTTTACGTGATAACTAAAAAAAATGTATAAATAAATAAAATTCAAAAAAATCGTGTACTAAAAAAAAAAAAAAGAAATTAATTGTACCTAAACAATACAACAACTAAGTAGAAACTACACAAACTTGATAACTATATGTAATTACGAATTGAGACGTACAGCGCAGTGAATGCCTCCCTTGAAGTCTCATGCAGAAGCGTTTGGATATCGTTCTATAGTTGTAAAAAAATAAATAAAACAACTAATTTAAGTACTGCGTGCATAGGTTAAAATATGAGTCATCGCTTTGTCGATTGGTTAACGGTGGTAAATGTTATATTAGTATCAAAGAGAAAAACATTGCAAAAGATTATACTTAATGCTCGTTTTAATAAGTACTTTAAAAATTCAATTTTTTTTTTTAATTTTTGACGCTCTGCAGCCATCATGATTGTACTTATTATTCCTATCGACAAACATCACACATAATTTTAGTAAATTTTTGGCAAGACGTGCAGATTAGATTAGGTGTACTTTAGCTATAGCTACTGCAAATCAAATGGAATGTAAAACCTTAAAATTATTTTTTAAATAAAAGACAGAAAAATTCATACAACGGAAAAATTATTGTTTTCTTAAACAAGACCTGTGAAAAATGTGTTATCTCTTCTAAGAAGATTAGAAGAAAACAACATGTAATTGTAATGTCTGGCGTAAATTACAATTTGAATTCGAACAGCAACACGAATATAAATATAGCAACACTCACACGCACGTATGTTATTTATTTACACTTATTACATTATTCATCACAGATTGAATCGTTGAACACGAATACATGAAAGTACGTACTTCTTTCTTCTGTTTCGATAGTGTATTTTCTTTCTCTCATTTTTTTTTTTTTTTTTTTTTTTTACGTACTATATATATGCACAACGACTATTCACTTTTTTGGCATTATTTGTAGTAGATTGATACACTTTGGATCGTTTTTCAAAATCTATTTTCAATTTCTTTCAACATATCTAAGTGGAGAAAAAGTTGTTTGACAACATGATTTTTTCGGCTCAAAATTATGAAAAGTTTCAAATTTACTAAATGACTGTTGAAATCTTTTTCGTTAACCATAAAATTTCAACGAATATACAGTAAAAACAGAAAAATATTCATGGAAAGATTACCTAAAAATCATTAAATTATATTGCACGCATAAAGCAGTATGTGCCACAAGATAAAGAAATAAAAAAAATTATTTGTCAAAACGTCTAATTCACCCAATCTGCTTATTTAAAAATTATCCTCATAAAATATTATAAATAAGTACGACTTTTTTTTTAGTAAAAATAAAATCAAAGTAAAACATTCCAATACCCCACGTCTTTCATACTTCAAGAGCTAAGACGCCATTGCTCCCAACTCCAACGATGTTCATCGTGTTTTTATTTACAGCCATATTAGTAAAAGAAGTGTCATCCAAAGAGTAGATATATTTACGATATTAGTGTTACATTATATGATGGGAAAAAAATCAATCAACATCCATTGCCCTAGACTTTGTCATTTATCTTAGAAGAAACAGTAAGAAAAAAAAAAAAGAAAAAAAAAGAAAAACATCCATTAAAAAGCCAATACAAAAAGCGTTATCGCGTATAAATTAGATTAGTTTTATTTTCTCTTTTTTTTTGTCAGGCAGTTGTGAAATAAATCTTATCGCCTTGTCAGGTTGAGAATGACGTAGGGCTCATCCCTACTACTGGTAGGTTCCGTACCGTTAGGCTGGTAACATGGGTTAATCGTGTAGTTCAGATTATGCTGCTGAGAATTATGATAACTCACCGGTTGGCTGCTTGTACGTCTTCTCTCGACGTTATTGTACTCGTGCTCGACGCCATACAGATCGCAATCCGAATCTACCTTTGGACCCAGGTCATCCTGGTGAGAAATTAAAATTTGCAAAAAAAAACATTTTACGTGACTTTATTGTATTTTTATTTCAAATTGAAATAGTTTATCGACAACTGCAGCCGGTACCCATTGAAAAGTGGGGATTGTCCCACGATCACGTACCTGCGTCATTTGCTGGGTTGTGGTAAGCAACCTGGCCAGCGGGGTACAACACACGGGTAACGTCTCCAACAAAGTGGGCCTCGAGTGCGTCAGCAGCGGTTTCATGTAGTGATTGTCGAATTTTCCCCACATGCTGGCGAGCAGCGCTTTCTCGTTGCCCTTGCCACCATCCCCTTGCCCCTCCTGCATAGAATTATACTGTGATGCGTGAACAAAGAAAGAAAAGCCCCGCTTTAGTCCTCACGGCCTGTATCCATCCTGTATGATTATGTGGGATTTTTTTTTTTTTTTTCTTTTTCTTTAACGGAGGATCGTTGTCTATCAACATCTAATGATTACTTGTCTAATAAATACTTGGATTTTCTTTCGATTGTACGATTGATCATTCACATTATTCAAAATAATTTTTTTTCTTTTTCTGAAATCGTGTGTCACTGGATTTTCGGGTACGTTATTGCAATGCCTTTTTCAAGACACTCGTTTTCAAATTATGCAGCAGTGCCTCGTTATTCAATCATGGCAACGCGTACCTGCGATTTTGCTTGCAGCTTGCGATTCGCGTGATGTATCAGTGCACCTGTTTTTTTATAACTTTTTTTTTTTTTTTTTTTTTTTTTTTTTTAGCAAAGCAGCAAGTATATTTTATACTTGGTATACATGCACATGAATCAATTTTGTGTAAATCTGTGGATTGTATCTAAGATGAATGATGGCGAAGCCGTAGTATGCAAATAATAGAAAAAATCACCTGGTTGCAAGCATACTTATATATTGATTTTACTGATTTTTCATCAGGCATGAAAATGAGCGTTTTATTGAAATATTAAAATAATAGTTTGTAGAATTTGATAAAAAAAACTACGACATATTACAAGTACAGCAACTACAAGTGATTGAAGTACGTAATACGAACGAGCAAGATAAAAAATACATTACAACAGCCACGTGAGAAAACGAAAAATATGTTCTACTAAATTCTAATCAAAATCAACGATCGATTCATTTACTTGATTGCAACTTTTTATGGCATTTTAAAATAAATAAAAATAAATAAATAT